GGAGAGCGGCACACATTGCTGTTCTTGACTCAGAAATATTTTTAGAAAAATTCTTCCTTGTTGCTGCCCTAAAATATTTTCAGTAGAGAAAAGCATTGTAAGAGACTTGGTTATTACCTCATTAACAGATGAATCAAATAATGTGTGGTATTAAAGTATAGCTGCAGCTGTATTTTAAGAGATATTTATACTTTTTATATGGAAGATAATTTATATCATCCACACTTAGGGCTTTTTAACATCAACTTTACTTTCTAGGTAATGTGGCTGTGCAATATTTTTTTTATTTTGTTCTTCTTACTTTTCTATTACTTTTTCTTAATTTGGGGTACCTAATTATTTGGAGATTAAAGCACAGTGTGTACTTTCGGTTGGTTTATTATTGGCTCTTAGACTACAGAAGTCAATGTTACTTGGCTACATTTTACCGGAGGCTTTAGATGCCAAAATAAATTGGATTTTAAAATTCTGATAAGGTCTTACACATTTGGTTGTCGTATTTTAGCACTGTCGGAAGACGCTTAACTGGAAACCCAATGAGCTGCTAAAATACTGGATATTTGAAAATGACTGTATCTGTGGGTCTCACAAAGACCGCTACCGAGTTGTCTGTTCAGATGTCACTACAGCTTAACAGTTTTCTACAAAATCATTTTCGTCATTGTTAAATACGTTATGCCTGTGGGAATATATTTTCTACTGATCTCAAAAATGTGTTAGTTTACATACTCAATTTTATTACTGGAACTTTAGTTTTCAGAAGCAAATGGCAACTAAGGATTTTTGAATGTTTCATGATAGCTGCCTTCAAATAATTGGGGTTTTGCAACCGGTATTAAAATTGCTCCTTACTCTGTCAGTTCTTCAGATGAACATGGACAGTTTTACATGGACTTCCTTCTATGTACGTAAAATAAGTAAATGTTATAAATTTCTGCAATACTTTTATGAATTTAAGCAATTTTTAAATATTGTTAAAATGTTTTATTGACTACAAAGTATTGTAAATATAAATCAATACATCTTCAAATGGGACAATATTGTAAACTTGACCTGTTCAGTGATACAGATAAAATGTTTTTGATATACAGGAATGTTAAAGGTCTATTGACTTTCTACTGGTGCTGAATAGCATTAAGTTCGGTTTCTCCTTACTTCCCTTTTCTCTGTTTCAAACAATAATTCAGGAAAGGTTGGGGGCAAAGAGTTACATGTGCATTCACTAATTGTAATGAACATTTTTTGAAAAATATAAATTTGTTGTATAATGCATGTTTATTTTTAGCATTGTGTTACTGCATCTGGTGTTAATAAAATGAACAAATGACTCTAATGGAAGCAATTAAAGAAACTGAAATGTTCTGCTAATTACCAAAATTCTGGGGAGGCTTATTTGTATATAATTAATAATTTTGTATTATTTGAAATGAATATAGCAATAATAGTTTCTAAAGAAGTGCTTTTGCATTTGGTTTGTTAATACATTCTTTGTAATATATTTTTTTTTCTCTGTAGCTTACAAGTTTTTTCAGATGACCACCTACAGTTTGGCAATATACACACTTAAAAGAGTATTTTGTTATAGTTGTGTTAGGCACATCCTTATGACACAAAGATACCTTAAATACATCCCCACGCTAACGATGCCTACTTTTATTCATCATTTTTTTTACGTTATGATGGTGCTAGTAGGTTGTAAATATTTAAATTCAGTTCTGATATCTCAACTGTCTTTTGTTTAACAGTATTCTAGTAGTTGGCTAGTGGCTAAATTTTTAATACCGAGCTAGATCTAAAAAATTTTCCTTGATTCACAATAACCAAGTTGAACTACTCTTAGTACCTAAGTATTCAGACATTTCTGTCACTACTGAAAAATGTCTGTCTTGCTGCATCTCTCTGGAAATCCTAAAGTGTAAAGCATGCTGTTGTGATTAGCAAAGCAGAAATATCCTGGTAGATCCTATGATATTTGCATGTAAGTTTACCAAGGAACAGAGCAAGTTAAGAGAACATCAGCTGCTTTTTCTGTCCTCTGATTTGTATTGCCCAGTACAGTCCATATGTAGCCCTGTCAGTACTGTAGCTTTTGTGGGGGCTGTTTGACATCTTGAAGACTGAAAGGAATGGCCACTACTTGCGTGCTGTAAGACGGTAGCGAGTGGCATGGTGACCCCAACGTGTCCTTGAAGCATATGAAGTTGCACTTACAGACTGTAGGGTACACATGCGGTTGCTGTCTGAAAACATGTGATCTGGGCAACTGTGCCATGTCTTGCATGGCATACTCCCCCTAATCCCACGTGTTTCTGCCTTCTATTTACTAGATAGAAAGATGGACTCTTCCATATGTAATTGAATGTCATCTGGTGCGGCAGCAGCTATCACAGGCTCCGTCTCACCCCTCTTCCTTCTGAATCGGGGCTTCATCTTCCTGTAGAGGAAGTGACCTCTCCTTTATGTAGGTATCCTACAGCTGCTTGAAAGAGAATTATACTGCTTATGGAATGAGAGCTAAAAACCAAGATGTTAACATTCATTATAAAGCCGATGGTCTCTTGGTCCCTGAAGGTAGTAGGCTGCTGCCATGACTTCACAAAGCTCTCAGAGATATTATTAGGAGGTTGTTGCATAAAATGAGGTGGCGTCTGAACTTCTGTTTGTCAGTTGGGAAAAAGAGCTCATGTGCTACTGTGGAAATCGCCAGGCTTTGCAGCAGAACCAAGAAATTCCACATTGGTGGAAAACGTTCTCTATAACCACAAAACACCCTTCATTCCAAGCCAAACGTATTTGCACAGCCCCGACCAGGTGTGGTGTTCACATAACCAGGCTTCTTGACGTGGAGGAAGAGGGGACACTTAGGCAGAACCAGCGCACCTGCTTGCTGCCTGCGGCAGTGCTGGTTGTGGAACTTTCCTGATGGCCCCCGTGACCAAGTGTGCATTCTGGCTCATCTGAATTGGCCTGCTGCAGCATTTGTGCTAGCTCCAAGTCTTTGACCCCCTGCTTTTTAGAACAGTAAAGCAGCATACGGTATTGTTTGAGATAAAAATGGTAAACAGAGGGAGGAAAGAAAAAAAAGAGAACATTGCACTTAAATCACACACTAGAAAATTCCTGGGGCATGTGCTACAACTGTATTTACCAATATCCAGGTTTATTACCTCCTCATTCGCAAGATCTAGAAATACGTAATTCAGGAGTAAAAAGTAAATTCTGCACTTTTACAGCAATACAATAAATGAACAGGGAAGAAAATGCTTTGAAGACCTCTGCTTATTTTTAGGAGGAAGAACAGTTCCTAATTAATCTTACATTGCTCTTTCATCCTTACCATGTTGGAGCACACATAAGCATGATTTTTCATGGATTTGTGTTAAGCTGTTTAGGAACAGAGCTTGCTGTTACTTGGTACCTGCAGAAAGCTGCTTATGAGTATTTTTAAGGTAAGAACTTCGTGATAGTTTCTACTGTATTGAGCACATGCATGTTAAGTTCTTGAGCCTGGAATAGTTCTGTTTTTTCCTTGCTGCTTTTGGGCAGAAGAGCATTTTTTCTGCATGAGCCACCAATATTCCTCTTTATGCTCTGATCTAGAGGCCTGGCATCTTACTGTTAAAATAAAGAAAAGGATTTCCCATTATTTTTGGTCTCTAATGTCCAATTAACCACGTTATAAAAAGCTGATTGAGAAAATGTCACACATAAGGCAGTCGGTTAAATTTAATCACTTTCAGTCTGTAGGCATTGCCAGATGTAGTGCAGTAAACTCAGTGGAGCGTTGCTGCTGTTAATTTACCAAGGAGAATTACTTTCTTAAACTCTGAGCTGTGAACACAAAATGCTGGTTTAGACTGAGATCTCCAAGAATGGCTGAGTGAAAGTTTCTTCTGCAGTTTAGTATCTGCGGACAGAGTGGTTTGAATTCCATTTTATGGAAGACCGGGGTTAGTTGGAGATGTTTGAAGAGTGACAAAAAGCAAATGTTGTCACTTTCAAAACATGAAATGAAGCTACTGAACTGGAGCTCCACCCTGTGAGCCCAGGTGTTACTTATCCCAGGGTTAGGTTTATAATGAGAGAGCAGCAAATGTTCAAAGCACCTTTGCTGGGTAAACTGGGAAATTGAAGTGCTGTGAAGTCCTCTGGTTCGGCACTTGAATGTGGTTGCTCAGTTTCTTGCTGCTTTCTTCGTGGGAGGGTGAATAATGCCTGATCAAGTGCAGAAAAAACGCCAGCAGGGGTGTAGGACTGAGAAAGATTCAAGTTAATTATTAAATTAATAAAATAGTTGAGATATTTAAATAATTTGCCGGTAACTTCTTAGACAGCCTTTAGTTGAGGGGCGGGGAGGGGGTTAGAAGGTGTGTCCAGCTTTGAAGGAGGAAAAGAGGAGTAATAGACATTTCTCGAGCACCTTGCCTTTATCAAGAACTTGGGTCCTAAAGGGGCGCGAGGGAATCGGGTTTTTTGGTTGGTGTTTTGGTTGTTTTTTTTTTTAAGACCGG